TTTAAAACACAAATGAACTTGTGCAAATTAAAAGAAACACAATTCATCGCCAAGCTGAGCGCTGCAGAAGAGTCTCCAGTTCCCGTCTTCATATCTTGTGAAAATAGCAGGTGCTGCAGTGGCACTCTGTGTGGTTTCTCACCGGTATGTTGGACACCTTTGTCTGAAAGAGGCACAGATGAGGAGGAAGACACAAGAGTGATTATTAACAAAGTCAATCAGTATTTGTGTATGATCAAAATGCTCTTTTTAGCAGTTTGAGCAGTTGAAATGTTCTAAACTCCTTTGAACAGAACCCAGAATTAAACTGCAAACCAAATTAAGACTAAATATCTGGAGAATTAATTTCTCAGGTCCTTTGAATGTAAAACATATATTTGTATATATGTGTACACATATATATATATATCATTGATAAGACCAAATTTAAAGTACTCATTCTGCAGAACGTTGCCCCTGTGACTGATCATATATCACAAGATGGTTCCAAACCTCGGGGTTGGTCCCTTCTAATTAGTCTTTAGATAAATCTGTGTGTGGGGGATGATTAAAGTAGAAAAGAAAAAACAAAGTTCTGCTACTCAAATCTCTATAAACATCTTTGTTTTTTGTGAAGTATTTGATATTTTTTACCTCTTTGAACCTCAATCAGTGAACCATCTGAGAAGTTTGAGGGTAAATGTCTCTTTGGTGGAACTACAAACAACTAATAGATCTCTAAAACATGGCAAGGGGCCCAAAGTACACACGGCTTTATTTTAAAGTGAAAGGGTCGGGAACCACTGGTTTATTCTTTAGCAATACAATGTTAACGTGTCTTTTCTGTTATACAGTAGAAGAATAAAACATACAATTGAATTATTTAAGTTCTACCTCCAATCTGAACAAAAAACTATAGATCTATAAAATAGAATTTAGACTAAAAGTATAACAATAATATTCTAGACTATTTCCAACATGGAGCATTTTGTTTCAGAGTATTTCATCTGCAGATTTGGGGAAATATTTAGTCAGCATCGGTCTATAGTTTCACCATTTACAGAAAAGTTTGCCAGACAAATCTTTTGTCTGTACCTGTACTTGTACCTCGTAGCTGTGCTTTGCGACACAGCATGTTGCCTCCGAGGTGATGTTCTTTGGGACCGTCATTGTCTTCATGGCCTTGAGGGGTGTTGGGTACGCTCTGGAGAAGCAGCAGCCCATGCACTGGTAGATGGGATGTTCCTTCGAGAAAAAAGTGTTCCTCCTCAGTGTGCACTCCCCACAGCCCACTGGAGAAAGACGAGACCGCTTGTTATACAGGTACATTTCAGTTCTAGGATTAAAAACACAGTGTACAATCTTTGTGAATAGAGATGAATTAAATCAAATTGTGCTAATTTACTGAAGTAAATCCTTGGTTTGTGTACTAGATTTCAGAGTAGAGTACTTAGTACTTGTATTAAAATGACATCTTACCGTTTGATAAGTCAAGGTTGGGGTAAGAATCTGCAATGTCAATAAGAAAAGACAACAGAAGAAGAGACAGTCCAGCTGATTTCACTGAGCCCATGGTGGTTACAGCAGTTATCTAATGATACAGAGACAAAAGAAAATGGTCAATCAACGGTCTTTTGAATCGAAAAACTCAGAGACAGAGTATTACCGTGTTGAAAGAAAGTTCCTTCTTCATCGTGCAGGAGGGCTTTTTATTGAGGACTTGTGCTTCCCTTCAGTGTCGTTTTATATCGCGTCCCCCAGTGTGGGGCCACTTCCTGGATTAGGTGAAACCTACCAACCTTATCAACGATCTCAGTGACTCACTGGCCACTTTGCTACCTTTCTCATAATCCCTTTAAAGGGCAAAATGATAAGAACAAATCATGGAAAGTCAAAACATACTTCCATCAACCTTCCATCCTGACTATGGATGCTGCATGTAATCCCTGGGTTTTTGTTCAGTGGGGGATGTTATTATTTGTCATGTCACAGCAAAGGGAGGGGTCATTAGTTGAGTTTCAGTTTAATGCAGAAAGACCAATTGTTGGCTGTAAGTGCATAAAAGTAAAAGTTTTCATTGTAAAGAGTGTAAAAGCGTGATGCTGACATTTTTAAAGCAATGTCTTCACTGCATCTTCACTCTGCAGTTGATCCATTTGTCTCTTCAGTGTTCATAATGGCATAATTTACTTATATTATAATTTACTTATGTCAATATTCTTATATTATATTTCCAATGACAATGACCTGCATTTTCCTTCCATTTTCAAACATGCATTGCCCCAATTTATTCATTGGTAATCGATTGTTCAAAACAATTATGATAATTGATACATTATAAAATTTATTTTTGAGCAAAAAAAAAGGTGAAACCTGTCAAACATCCTGTGGTTCCAGCTTCTCAAATGTGGTAATTTGCTTATTTTCTTCGTCATATATGAATCTAACTTGAATATGGTTTGGTTTTGGACTTTTGGTCAAACAAAACAAGACATTTGATGATGTGATTTTTCACAATGCTTTGTTATTTCATAGACTTGACAATGAATCAGTTAATTGCAATCCTAATGGAAGTCATTGTTTTAATGTTATGCATGCCCTACATGCAGTTTGACGTTGGATACTGCAGGTATATTATGTAATACATATTAGTGCCCTGTTATCTGATCACTGACTTTTAAACTGGAACGCTGCCATGCGTCTTATTTCTTAACAAATTTCATTAAAACAGATATTGACAATAAATCTAAATAAACTTCAATGAAACATCACAGCAATAATTTATTTTGGGTGTATTCTTTTCATGCATAGTTTCATATTGAGGCAAAACTCGTTTGGATGGAAGAAGTTATGAATAAATGGAAAGATATCTGATAGTTGTTAAGGAGTCTCCATCTGTCTGCCTCCCACATCCGAAATGTCAAGGATGAATATGAATTTATTTTGCATTTCATCTGTCTGTTTACTTAAGTATCCATGTCCTGTGTCCTTGGTTGTGCTGGTGATAAATCCGTGACATAAGAGTCCTTATTCAATAAGCGTTGAAGAGGAGATGTTTAAAATCACAGAGATGTTTAAAGCAGTTTTTTGGGCTTCTATCACAGCATTTATAACATTGTATTTTACATAATAATGTAACAACTAATATGTAACAACCAATATTTTGGGCATACGCATGTAAGTTTATTAACAACAAACAAAATGTACTGTCAATCAAATATACCCTAGTAAAATTATTTGAGTACATTGGCCTATTTACTCCTGAAAAATAAACATTCAGGCATAAAAACAGAATCTCTAACATCAACCGATAAAAATGAGTAAAATTACATACGCCAACATCTGACACGTTTTGATCATATCTTTTATAAAAATTACACTTGGCTATTTGCAGAAGTGTCTGCAATAATCATGGAGCTGACTGATGAATTAGTTGAGCTGGGTAAGTATGTTTAAGACGTACGAGAGATGAGATGTTATTAGAAATATGAGACACCTGAAAGGAGTGCTGCTGTACATTAAAGCCCGACAACAGTTCACTGACAAAAAAGGCAACCAGCACAGAGGGTTAGTTTGAGGACATGTGCAACTTCCCTCTCCTGAATTCTCGCATTGGCCTGCTTCATGGCCTCCTGATTTATGAAACAAGGAGTGGTGCCGAGTTTCTTCTGCTCTGTGTCAGGCACATTGATCTGGCTAGATGAGGATGAGAATCACAGAGATGTGGAAAGCCCCAGGTGTAGAGTAAATTGTGCAGCCTACACAAGTCACGCTCGGTGAAACACTAGTCAGATTTATTCTCAGGGGCTCCGGTGTCGACGCTGTCACTGTTGCTGTAGAGGAGAGAGCATGGGTGGCACGGTGAGGTTAGCAGGTCATGTCTCAGGCAGGCTCAATTCAAAGCCATGGTGATCTAGATGCTATTGATAAGTCAGGGACAACAAACAACAACTGAACGAAGCAGCGGCGACCTGTAGTTTTCTTGGATATGACACAATTGAAGATATGTGATGTAGCAGTAAAGAGAATGATGATTGAAATCAAATCCAAGCATGTTAACGGCTCATTATCAAAACCGAGGGTTGACTGAAACTAGTCATTAGATGAAAATGTTTTAAAGCCGAGAATCGCAGCAATACTAAATAATTTTCTTCTGAAATATTATATAATATATTTTTTCTCGAAGCAAAGCACCATTTTGATGGAATATAACTGTAAGAATTTATCTGAGTAAATACACAGCGTGCAGGTGGGCATACATATACATCCTCTCTACATCAGTGCAAGGATGGTGCATTGCTAAAAGGAATACAAAAGACTGAAAGGGATGAACTGAGGTTTTGCTATAAGTTATTTAGGAGCCAGATCATTTTGCTTGGTAAACTCTCTCCACAGGGTGGCATGAGAGATCTGTAATAGGCCTGTAGGTACAATTATGGTTATTTATCTTATTCAAGAGCCATACAATAGAGCCTCTGCTGCATCAGAGGGACCAACAGAAACAAAGCAGACATTGTCAGAGACAGACTAACATAACCATAATGTTTCATCCTTCTTATATACAGTCTATAGTTTTCATAGCATGCTTAAGATGGTCATATTAACGTAATAAAAAAAGAACAATACACAAAAACCTACCACTGTATCAGGTTGTTGTAGTCGGTGTTAAAGAGGCAATATTAATGTCAATAAAGAGCTTGTTAATTTTTATTGTGATATGATAAAATGTACTGAAACTAATGATTTTAACCTAAATTATATCTTGTTATAAAGCTGAATACAAAACTTTATGAACCAATTGTTTTGTTCTCAAATATCTGTCTGAGCTTTGTTTGTTCTCTGAGGAGTCTTCACGGACATGAGCAATAAGCTTATTGTAGACACATAAAAACTACACTTGTAGAGTTTTCTTGTGTCTGTAACAACCTGTGGATAAGGCAAGGAAGACAAAACTTATTAGCAAAGTGTTTCTGGAAGTATTGTATACTTTTGATAGTACTGACCTTTGTTATGCTTTGCTATTGTTCTTATCTTGTGACATTCAAAATGTTTGTTTGTTGGGTAAGTTGTAACATTATTACTGGTTGGGAATATGCACCAGGAAATCATTATGTTGCTCTTTTCCTCAACAGCTGCGTAAGTTATTTCTCAGAATATTCCAGCCATCACCGTCCAGCTGTTAATGTCCTACCTGTGGGAGTTGTTGGAGTCAGTTACCTGCTAAAGTTTTATTATTTCAGCCACGAGCCAAACATTAAATCCATAATTCACTCTAGCTGTGATGAAAATAGCAGATAGACAAATCCCAAATTCATACTGTGCAATGTATTGTCACTGCAATGTATTTGTATTTAAAACAATTGTCATGGATCAACACTGACACAAGTACTTTTCATTGCTCATAGCAAGTCATGTATCAACCTTGACTGTCCAAACGCACTCAGAAATTGTCATTTAAAAAGATTTTTTTTTATTTGCAATTGACTCACTTTCAACCCCATCGTAAGATATTGAGAACAAATAACATTGTTTAAAAACTGGATTTTCTGCAACAAACATAGATGCAAGTAACAACTTTTAAATCGGATTGTAATGCACAAACAATAACAAGTACAACTTTGCTTTCCTATGATAATGTTGCAGAGAATCTTTTACCAAACCAATAAAAATTGCCAAGTAGTTTGGCACAACATAAATAAAGAACTCTTCAGTTGTGCAAACCATTGCACCTGATGTTGTCTCTGCGGTATCAAACAAATAATCATATAGGTTTCTATGTACTCTGACCTATTCTTTTGTTCATGGAGCAGATGAGTGTTTAATCAATGGGAAGAGTGACACCGTGTGGTGGAAAGTGGGATCGCCCTCCCTACTTCCAGTCATGCTGAAATATTGTCAGAGTTGGTCTGTTAATGTCACACATCTTGTTTTAGATTTAAATATATGAGGACTAGCATTTGGTACAATTTTACACAAAAATACTGATCATCTCTAAAATATGTTATTATTATTAGTGGAAGTACTGGTAGTAGTATTGGTGGTGGAAGATTATCAGTAAATTATTAATAATGGGCTAATTTATTTCATTGTTGTACTTCCTTGTTTTATTTCATTGGTGTTTACTTATATATTTGAGTTCAATGTTTTGTTTCTGTACCAAATCTTTTCACTGTTCTATTAGTCAGCACTCCTGACTGACCCCTTACATAAGCGGTACTGCTGTTGTCGTGAAATTACTCGTCGTTAGTAGTTATGATGGATGCTTTGAATGACCTGCTGCTCCTCTGTGAAATGCATACAAGGCAAGCCCGTGCAGGGCGGTCCAAGAAACCCCTTCGACGAGACAAAACTCGAGGCGTGAACGTGGCAGCCATTTTACATCATCAAGAGTGAATGACTGAAGCCGGATCAGTGCCGGGAGTTTTACACTTTTTCTGTCTTTTAAATATCACATTTATCTTCCTAAATAATCAACACCATACACGTTGGTGATCCAGCGGCAGGTAGGGCGAATGCTACTATTTGGTCACGTTATTGTTGCTTAATTTATTGCTAAAAAGTCTGAATCGTGCTGTGCTGTTTCAAACAATGTGGAAACTGGTGTTGGTTGGGAACGACTTCCCCAGACCGGCTTTTTGAAAATGGACTCTTCCTATATGGCGGCACGTTGGCAAACCAGGCATCTAGTACTCTAGACCTCTAGGCCTCGGTGAATCTAATTACTCATAAAAGCTACACTTTCGTCAATTGTTGAAGTCCTTACTTGCAAATATCGTAACAATGGCCTCACTGAAATTCCGTTCGAATTAGCATGCTAGCTTAAGCTAGCCTATTTTGACAGATCATAGAATTGACATGCTCATTGTCATCGTGTGCTAACAGCAGCTAGCTGGTTAAAGCCTGTTATCTTAGCACGAAATGGCTTTCCCGCGTAACCACTGTATCAACGGACGAACCACGTCCCTACTGTTTTACGACAGTTAATGCAGACGCACTCATAGAAAATGCATATTAGCGCGTCATGTTATTGTGACGGTTCATGGTGAACTCGATAGCTCTAACGTTAGCTGTGCCAACTAGCCCGCTAGCTAGGTAGCTAGCTAGCCAGCCTCAACGTGTGCGAGCCAGTCCCCGCTAACGTTAAATCTAACGTTACCACACACATCTTTTGAAAATAGTTTATTCTGTTTTTTTAACGGTTCAAATTAAAAACCCAAGATTAATTTGCACGATACGGTCACGTTAGTTACTTTCAACGTTACAGTAATGTTTTTAACCACTGAAAGCACGTGCTTGGCGATATTAGATTGATTAGCAGACGCTGCAATGTGTCGGTTGTGTGGTATATTTAAGCCCATATTGGTTAAAGGGTAATGTTAGCTAAGTTATTGAGAGGCCGAAGCAGAAGATTGCTGTCCACGTTTTGCTCAGTCCAGCGTTGGCGGATATAGTAGTAGCTCTCAGAGAGCGGTTTGATTGTTGTTTGCCTCAGTATCTGTCGACTCAAAACAAACACAATTATTTTTGATTTAACTTAGTGTCACAATATGTGCTGCCAAAGTGTCAAGAAACATAAATGCTAAAGGGTGCATACTTGGTCAGCTACCGGAAACTGGGTCTCACTCTCTGATGGAACACGTGTATCAGCTATCTAGCCTGTGCTGAAGTCAGCAGTGAGAAGGTAAGTTAACATGTAATTTAGAGCCCAAAGCAGACAAGGCGTCTGCACCAGCAGTGACCAAGAGGACTGTGATACAGCCCTTAACAAGTGAACTTGGCACCATTTGCACAAACTTCTTAACCCAGAATAAATCGGAATGAAAAAAAAAAAACTGCCACATGGGCACAAACTCAGTCGTTAAACCGTTTTTACAAGATGTCATTGAATAGATTTGTGTGGGAATTTTCGGTATGTGGATTGTCTGTCTTGCTTGCAATGTTCAAAGATCTGTCAACTGCCTATACAGGTTTCTGGGCTTCTACCTCATGCAAGCTGCAAGTCTTATGTCAGGATAGTGAAAAGTCTACCGACTGTACAGGACCACGCGACTATAATAACTTGTTTTGTACACAGCGACACCCCTGTTTATTGATAGTTTGTGCTTATTAATACAAAAGACACTCTGTATCCAAGATCAGAAATGGTAAAAACGTTATTTTTCCTGACAAGTTTGAGACTTTGCACTCTCCTGAACACATCCCAAGTCTTGCCCTTGACCCAGGATTAATTTGGCTCATTGCATTTACACAGATTTCTGGAGACATGGCCACAGAACATATTAATGGAAATGGTCCAGAAGAACCAATGGACACCTCTGCTGCAGTTACCCATTCTGAGCACTTCCAGACTTTATTAGAAGCTGGTTTACCACAGAAAGTTGCTGAAAAACTAGATGAAATTTACATAGCAGGTAAGGCACAAAGAATATACTTGCATATTCAAATATGCAATTTTTTATGTTTATCAATTTCTTGCATGTACTGTCATTTTATCACCTTTTTGAATGGGGGAATTGGGATCATGAAGCAACTTTTTGTGGTTTCCTACCAAAATGGGTACTGCAGTGCTACAAAATATAAAATTACACATTACCAATGTGTAAATGATTGCAGCATTTGCATTCCCAACATGGTTGCATGATCACTGGTGTCAGGGCGGATTAATTGTCCTCTCCCTGGGAGTGTCTTGGTAAGCCCGTCCAGTCTCTCCATTCATTTCCATGATGTTTCTCCGCATCCCATAAAATAATTGCAGATGGATAAACTGGTGTAAGTATCTCAGTCACAGGTTAGATATCTGTTGCTTTGGTTAGAGCTTTACCAGTCTGTATGGGGTGAGCTGCAGTGCAAAGTTTGGGGGTCATTTCAGGACTTAGTTTGGTCGGTCAGATCTGAAAAATTCTTGGTCCGGCCTTTTCAGCCAGACGGAAGCGAGACAGAAACAATGGCGGCAGCTGCCTGGTGTGTGGCTGCCTTGGACAGGTGACGGCCCCTCTATGGAGGAGAATGCAGACCAGCTCATTAGAAACTCCCACCTACAGAATAGAGGGGCACTGGCATATCAAGTTGCATTGTCGCATCTGTTGTGATTAGTTCTGCAAAAACTTACTGGTTGGAGAGTAAAGTGCAGCCTGACTACTGAACACAGCACTATTGGAGTAGCCTGGTCCCGCTCCTCCCTTCTAATTGTAGTGATCATTATCATTACATAATTTAAAAGATATTTGTTATGCAACAATGACTCTCATGCAAATATTTCTCTTTGGTCCTTTCAGTTGTACTTGAATGACAAGGTAGTAATTACATAAGTACGGACTTCCTCAGCCAGCTCACCGTTTCTCTCTCTGTCTTGCCCCCCCCCCTACAGGTTTGGTGTCACATAGTGACTTAGATGATCGAGCAATTGAGGCTCTGAAAGAATTCAACGAGGAAGGTGCTCTGCAAGTCCTTTTGCAATTTAAGGACAGCGACCTCTCACATGTTCAGGTATGCGTGTGGGTTGTTTAGATAACCTTTATAATTTCTAATGTCTTCATACAAAGTAGATGATTGTCCTCTGTGCAGTGTGATGTATCATGGCATGTGGTAAAATAGCCCTTAGCTGTCATCTACAAGACAGATTATTCATTTTGTGTGGAACTAAGAATCAGAAGTTGTCTTAATGATCATGACACATTTCATTTACATAATTATAGTTTGATAGTATTTAATAGTTGTTTTTTTCCTTTTCTCAGAACAAAAGTGCCTTTCTTTGTGGCGTGATGAAGACGTACAGACAGAGAGAGAAACAAGGGACCAAAGTGTCAGACACCAATAAAGGACCAGATGAAGCCAAAATCAAAGTGAGAACTAATCCTGAATTTAATTAGTTTTGTCCAATTTAATGCTTGGGACAAAATATGCTGATGCAATGCTTGTAGTTAATCTCTTTAACCAGCATGCTGTTTGAATAAAGGACACATTTTAAATAAGGATGTTTTGCATGCCTTGTTTTTTTTTTTATTTTAATTTTATCTATGACTGTCAAACAGCACTCTCCTCTCTTTTCCATGTTTTGTTATGATCAGGCTTTGCTGGAGAGGACTGGCTACACGCTTGATGTAACAACAGGCCAGAGGAAGTATGGAGGGCCCCCACCAGAGTCTGCTCACTCAGGGGCCCAGCCCACCATCGGTACAGAGGTACAGAACATGTCTTCTTTAAAGTTGCACTATTATGCACATATGGTGTCTTAATGATGACAATTTTTTTATTATCTGTAGTAACCTCGGTTACACTGATGTTTTACCGCTAAGAGCTGAATAGACACCTTTTTCCTAAATGCCATCTATGTTTTAACCTCGCATGACAAGCCACAGAGGGGCTCTTATTAGTGTCCTTTCCTCTCAACCTGACAGATATTTGTAGGCAAAATCCCCAGAGACCTCTTTGAGGACGAGCTGGTTCCGCTGTTTGAGAAAGCCGGCCCCGTCTGGGATCTGCGCCTGATGATGGATCCTCTCAGTGGCCTGAACAGAGGATATGCCTTTGTCACTTTCTGCACTAAAGACGCTGCACAGCAGGCGGTCAAATTGGTATGTTTCCTTTCCTGAAAATATAACCAGAAAATAATTGTTAGTTAAAAGTAGTTTTAGTCAAGAAGTAAGATCAGTTTTTGCTTCTTCCTCTCTTACGACGTCCTCCGTTCTTCCGCAGTGCAACAACAATGAAATTCGACCGGGTAAACACATCGGCGTGTGCATCTCTGTGGCCAATAATAGACTGTTTGTTGGCTCGATCCCCAAGAGTAAAACAAAAGAGCAGATTGTTGAAGAATTTGCAAAAGTCACAGGTGAGTCGGCACCATCCATTGAGTTACCTTTCTGGATAATATTTAGTGAAATATTAGTTCTACGGCTTCATTCATTATCTACTTTTTGCCTGTTTGACAATTTTGATTAGATTTGTTGTGCATTTAAGATCTGTAATGAAACAAGCTTTGACAATTAGTTTCAAGCATTTCCTGTTTATGTCCAAATGATGAACTTTTATGTACTATGCTGGAGTGACTCACGTCGCCATGATGGTTTACCGCTAAGAGCTGACTGGACACCAAACAGAAAGGCAGATTGACGTCACTAGTTTGGTAGTTCATTGACCTGTGATTTCAGTTGAATAAAGCCATTTAACCGTTGCTGCCTTTCCTCCACCTCTCTTCCCCGTTTCTCGTCTCTACAGAGGGTCTAAATGATGTCATATTGTACCACCAGCCAGACGACAAGAAGAAGAATCGGGGCTTTTGCTTCCTCGAGTATGAAGACCACAAGACGGCAGCTCAGGCCCGCCGCCGACTGATGAGCGGAAAGGTGAAGGTGTGGGGAAACGTGGTCACCGTGGAGTGGGCTGACCCAATCGAGGACCCAGACCCCGAGGTCATGGCCAAGGTAAGGCTCAGGGCCAGAGGTTGTTGGTCCCATACTGTTCACTTTCTATGACCGTCTGCTGCAATTGTATTAGATCCTTTGTTTTCCATTACCAGGTCAAGGTGCTGTTTGTGAGGAACTTGGCAAGCACCGTTACAGAAGAGATACTTGAAAAGTCCTTCAGTCAGTTTGGCAAGCTGGAGCGGGTGAAAAAATTGAAAGACTATGCCTTCATCCACTTTGAGGAAAGAGATGGTGCTGTGAAGGTATGGAAGAAAACACCTGTCACTGGACTGGCATGCATCAGCTTAATCTTTAATCTGTTGTTTTTGCAGTGAAAACATACTTTCATTGATACATTTCACAGGCTTTGGCTGATCTCAACGGCAAAGACCTCGAGGGAGAGCACATTGAAATAGTCTTCGCCAAGCCCCCCGACCAGAAGAGGAAAGAGCGCAAAGCCCAGAGACAAGCTGCTAAAACACACATGTAAGAGGGAACAATGCAACTCAATCCTGTGACCGTCACTCATGTAGTCAGCACATTTTGATTTTGATATTAAGCAGAATGCACCATTTACGATAAGTCTGCATCATCTTTCAGGTATGATGAATACTATTATTACGGGCCTCCCCACATGCCCCCACCCACGAGAGGCAGAGGCCGAGGCGGGAGGGGAGGCTATTCTTACCCCCCCGACTATTATGGCTATGAAGACTATTACGATTACTATGGATACGACTACCACAACTACCGGGGTGGTTACGATGACCCGTACTACGGGTATGATGACTTCCAGGTGTCTGGGAGAGTACGAGGAGCTAGGGGAGGAGTCCGTGGTGGTGCCAGTCAGACCAGGGGCCGCGGTGGCGTCTCACCGAGGGGCCGAGTGGGCTTCTCCCAGCGAGGAGCCCCTGGAACAAGCAGAGGTAACTTTAATTTGTTTGATTCAAAGTGGGTCAAATTAAAGAAGTCACACAGATAATTACTGCTCACTTGTGGAAAATACCGTGCCACGTGGCTCAGTTTATTTTCAGTAAGTCTTGAATATCACAGGTAAAAGATCGACTGAGCTCAGTGTTGGCGTCGACATAGTTTCTATCTGTGGTCAGGTGAAGGGGTGTAGTAGATTGGCAGCTGAGGATGACCTACAGCGCAGGTATTGATCGTCTCAAAATTATGTTGGTAGTAATTATAAGACGGCACTTGAACTTAAGTTACACCTGCTTATTGGCCTCATAACTAATCCCTGACAGGTGTCTTCTTTCAGAGCAGCCAGCCAGTTTGTTTGCCAGCAGACGAAGGTCATTCACAACATACTATACTTCTAAGGAGGCTAGCCGAGCCCCATCCTAGTGGCAAAACACTGTCTTCAGTCTAAGTTTTGTGGAGTTTCCTTGGTCCATCAGTGTGCTGGGGAATGTGTGCAACATGGATGTCTGGATTTTCTTTTCAAAATTGTGTACTAATTTTATCTTTCCTGTCATTGGACCAGCAGGGAAACGGGGCCGAGGGCGTTCCTGACCTGTCACCGTTGCTACTGACTTGATGTGTGGGCTTACACCGTTGGCTGCAATGGATGTTGACACAAGAAAAGAGCACGGCAAAAAGGTCCAATGATATTCCAGCCTTACAGAAGAAGCATCTCCCCTCCCCCATGTTTTTTTTATTTTCATTTGTTTCTAAACTGCCACCTTAAAAAGATGACTGGGGGATTCTAAATACTCTCCACAACCTCTTTGCCCCAAGCCCTTGTACCCAGCCCTAGTTTACAGGGCACTATGTATTGCCCTTACAATCTACCCCCTTCCCTGTCCCTGAACATGCCATTTTTAAATAATTATTGAAGAAATTGCACTTTTTTAAGTTCTTGGGTTTGAAGTGGCTCAAAGGAGCTTGATGCTATTGTATATTTTTGTGCTAATCGCAATTTTTACTGTCGGAATATCCATGTTCTTAATCGTTTGATCTGGATGTTTGACAGAGAACATTTGCAGGTTTTTAGGGTGTACCCACCTGGCATGGATAAGTCAGGCATTCCAGGAAAGTGGTTCTTTTCAGAACTTGTCTTTAAAGGGTTGGTTGACTACCTCAGTACAGAGGACTAAACTACCCGGCCTGTACTGTAAATAGGGAAACTATATTGATGAAAGCAGGGCTTGTTTTCATACAAAATATGCACAAGAGCTGGAGCGCAAAAACAATGTACTTAATGTAATATAGTCATTTTAGCTGCAGCTCTGACACTGCAAACAGTCAAACTGGGCATGCAAAACAATCTCATGTGATGAGTCTGAACAAGCCCTGCTTTTATCCTATTTTGAACTGAATTAGCCGCCTTGCTTCTTCAGAGTATGTAGTTACTGGTTGTATAGTTTTTCGGATAAAATGTTACTTTTGTAAAGGCTTCAACATCACAGGCATCCAACTGCCTTTGATTTAAAAAACAAAAAAAAAAAAAAAAAAATTAATACAAAAATAAAGCCCTGCAGTGTCCCTTTTGTGCCACTGTATTATTCCAGTGGGTTGGTTTTATATTGATGCCAATGGATTTTCAAACGACGTCAAAATCATGTAAAACAACCTAATCCAGTTTGTCATCATATAAGATCATGTTAATCTTGAATGATCCCTTTCCAGCTCCAAGACAGGAACTTTGTAAAAGATATTTCGGGTTAACCTTGATGGATGACTGAATTGCCATATTGCCCCGTCAGTGAGCATGTGTGCCTGTCGTAGGCTGGTGAGGGATCATAGACACACAGTGGTAGAAGGGATACTGCAGTGAAGGATTTCTACTTCCCGGGTATAGCAAAAAGGAAACTGCTCTTCAATCCCAGTTTTCTACAGTTAACTCCCTCAATAAAATCATAACAACCACCTTTTGAAAAAAAAAGATGTTAGCAGTTTTAAACTATTGTTGGTGGCCAACAACGTTTTTTGCATTCCTGCAAATAAATTGTTTTATACTGTAAAATGGAGGTGAGTGTAACTTATTTTTGTAATAAAGTTTTTGATTTCTATCTGTGTCTTAGTCTTTGGATACAATCTTCATGCGATGCAAATGCTTTGTGCAAGCTGTGCTGCTTTTATTTTATGACTGATAAAGGCTTACAAAGGATAATAAATATAAAGCACACGTTATATCAGGCTTTAGCTAACTGAACAGACCAATATGTGTTTTCTTATTTATTATATGAAATGATAGACTTGTGATCACATTTCTATAGCTCAGTTCCACTTCAAGTTTCCCAGAAAGCCAAACATGCACAATACTGGAGCCCTGAAACTCAAAACTATGTTTCCAATTACATCTGCCAAGGCATTATCAGACCATATTTTTATGTTTTGCTTAATTTCAACCGGTTTCTATTACCACCTCCTACACAGTTGTGCTCAACACTGACGTAATCGGGCAACGACAGCAACGGTACTGATGTGACTCACGTGCGCCTGCAGCTGAACTAATTAGCCAGCTGACGTTAGCGAGCTAATTGGCGGCTAACCCGCAGATTGTTTTCACGTAAAAGTGACCATTTATCAGTTTTCTTGGGTCAATTAACACGGTTTGATACCAACGCGAATGCACGTCGTCTAACAATATAATTGACATGGTTGAGGAAAAGCAACTTCCTCCTCGGTCTCGTCTCTTAAATTGGGACCTCAAACGTGTATTCGGGCTTACTTATTTGAGGTAACGTCAGCTGATATAACGTCACTTGTTTGTCTGTAAACTATAGCATAGCCAGTACGTTGTGAGCGCAGCGGAGGTGACATCACGCGTCTCCAGCGCTGACAGCGTTGCCCCTCAAATAGACACGCATGACAGCTATAGAGCACCGCAGCCGTTAGCACAGCATCGGCGTTTTAGCACAGCCTGGACACGGACGTTGCGGTGTAATTACCTCTAATCCTGCTGTGGTGCACAGCTGTGTGCGAACACCTCGCCCTCTCCTATGAACAAGGCAACCTGCGCATTTATTCTGCAAATTCATGATGGTGTCGCTGATGGACTACAATGAAAACTGGCCCTTAACATCCACCGTACATTTACAGTAAGTGCCGGAGTCGATGAATAAAACCACTACAAGCAGCTTGTTATGTAAACTAAATAAACAGCATACAGTTACACGATTTTGAACTGTGTCGCTGTCATGTATCGCTGCTGCACGCCGTTATTTATTCGTAGACAGTGGCTACATGTTGACTTGTGTATTTTGCAGTAATATGCAATAGGCTACATGTGAAGAGGCTCCCGAAGGCGACGAAGATGGGATGCATCAGGGCTTGTCTGCAGAAAATAAGGCGCACGGTGAAGCTGGAGCGGTTCAGAGAGCTGGGTCGACAGTATCCAGTCTTCTGCTTTCTGCTGCTGGTCCTGCTGCTGGCCACTGTGCTTTTAAACAGGCAAGGAGGCCAAAACAGTGATCATTACTCCCATCAATGATGCTTCATATATGACATCCCTGTCATATATTCCCACTATATCCTAAAATGTTTTTGTTCAGTCAATGGCCATATTTTTCTTCTGTTTTGACAGATATATACACATTATGATGGTGTTTTGGTCCTTTTTGGCCGGAGTCGTCACTTTCTACTGCTCTTTGGGACCCGAGTCTCTGCTGCCCAATGTCTTGGTCTCCATCAAATCAAAAACCAAGGTACGACTAAAAGCAAGAGTTGCTGAATAGAGTAATCTGATACTGACAAAATGCAATGTCACAGCAGTCATCATAACAATTTGAAAATATAATCGTTTTCTTTTAATGCTTTCTAAATAATACATCTAAGGTTTGTATTGCTTTCTGAAGACATTTTGGATGCGAATTGAGCTTTTTAATTGATTGGAGACAATAAGACATTAAGGCACTTCTGCGGCTGCAGTGAATGATGGGAAATATTAGTATTATTCTAGTTTACTTGTATAGCATACCACTGTAAGTCCACAGTATGTTAACTTTCTCTTGCAGTTATACCAACAGGAGCTGTTTCCACTGGGCCACAGCTGTGCTGTTTGTGGAAAAATCAAATGCAAAAGGCACAGGTGAGATATCTGGTTATGTTGTGTTTCAGTGTTAGTCGAGGAAGTGGCTGCAGTGTGTTGTATTACAACCTTATCATTTGTGTCAACATGCTGAGAAGGTAAAGTCCTAATGCCTACACTTGAAGGGCACTCCATAGATAATCTCTGGGACTTTGTACGTTATGCTACTGCATATCTTGAGCCAGTAAAGGATACAAGTTAGTCATTCATTTGGAAGCAAACAGTAAAGTAAACTATAGGAACGAGTCATTTGGATTAATTAAAGAGACTCTTTATATAATTCTGCCTTCATTGTATTTGGTTTGCCAACATTCATTCAATGTGCTCAATAATACACTGTTGTTTATCATCAAGTTATGGAAGACGTTACACCGCCCTCTAGTGGTCAGACATCATGATTTTCTCTGTATATTAAATACTGTGATATTTTTGTTTTTTCAATTACTGATAGACCGACTTTATTACTGGAAAACTATCAACCATGGCTTGACCTGAAAGTTCCTTCTAAGGTGGATGCTTCTCTTTCAGAGGTAATGCGTGCATGGATTAAACATGTTTTTAAAGTTATCATTAAATAAATAGACAAAATTATCTCATAGTCCAGTTTTGTTTTATTATTTTCAAGATTCTGGAGCTGGTTCTGGAAAATTTTGTGTATCCTTGGTATAGGTAAGCCATTTTCTGTATTTTTTTATCATGTCACAATCCAAAGTGAGGCGGTATAATGTGTTAAATGTAGTGATAGATGTGACGGTACAGTGTTTCCTTTCAGAGACATCACAGATGATGAAGCGTTTGTTGACGAGCTCAGAGTGACTTTGCGCTTCTTTGCGGCTGTCTTGGTCCGCCGAACCCAGAAGGTGAACCATTTGACAGCATGGAGTTAAAATCTTGGGATGCTGATTGACTGAACATGAATTATTTTAAATCAAATTTTCCCCGCTCAGGTGGAAGTGGCATCCCTCATCACACAAAAGCTTCTTAAAGTTTCCATGAAGCACATTGAAATAATAAGCAAAGCCAGACAGAAAGGTAATGCTCATATGCGTCACCCACTAAGTCTTTTTCTATGTGTTTTACCATTAAAAAAAAAAAAAAAAGCACACAATAAACGTCTCCCTTCTGCAGTAAAGAACGCAGAGTATCTTCAACAAGCCGCCCTGGAGGAATACGGCCCTGACCTCCACGTGGCCCTTCGCAGTCGCAGAGACGAGCTCCTCTACCTCAGGAAGCTCACTGAGATGCTCTTCCCCTACATTCTCCCACCCAAGGCTACAGACTGCAGGTAACTCAGTGCTGTGATAACAGAAGCAGTGCAGCACGAAACATCACAGCATTGACACTATACAGAAGTAAATACAGATCAGTCTTTACTCTCTCATTTTCTTGTTTCATGCTGCCTTATCTCTTCGGCTTCTCTCAGATCTCTTACTCTCCTGATAAGAGAAGTATTGGCTGGTTCTGTCTTCCTTCCTTCAATGGACTACTTGGCTGATCCTGTGAGTGTAGACTCATTAAGGGCAGATTTTCTGAATCCGAAACTCTTGTGACTTGAAATCGTCTTCTGATGCAGTTTGTCAGTCTCGCAGTATGTTTGATTTGTATTCAGTAAGCATATCGGCTCACATTATTTACCATCAGCACACAAATGGTGGACAAAGATGGTCTTTTTCAGAACATCAAAAGTACTTCTACATTTTGTGAACTTACTGGCTGCTGCTGCTTTTTTTTTTTTTTTTTTATATTTCAGGACACAGTGAATCATTTACTTTTGATATTTATCGACAACTCCCCTGTAAGTATATGTTGAATTGTGAACTTTTGTGCACAGACGGTTCCATTTACAATCTGTGCATTGAAACATATTGCTGCAGAGTGTGTACGTAATTCATGGGTGAATAAGACAAACAGGTTTTCAATATACTTTTTGTGCCCCGAGCCTGAAGAAGCTACAGAGCCCTCTTCGGCGTTGGTTCCTTTCCTGCAAAAGTACTCTGATATCCGCAGCAGAAAGCCCTCTGTGAGTGAAAACATACAAGTAGCACCTTCCCAACAAGCCACTAGATACTGTATGTACTATATGTTATGATGTGGTATCACAACACGCAGACTTTAAGTGTGTTTTAGCCTGGTATATCGGGTCTCACCGAGCTCAACGCGAAGGTGGAAGGACTGTTTATAAGAGCCCTGCCTTTGTTAACTGTGGTTTCCGTTCTCTCTTCGACTACTGTTCTCTCTCTCACCAGGTGCTGAAGTTGGAGTTGAAAGAAATCAGGGAACAGCAAGACCTTCTCTTCCGTTTCATGAACTTCCTGAAGCAAGAAGGGGCTGTTCATGTGCTCCAGTTCTGTCTCGCAGTCGGTAAGCATGTCCCGAACCTTTTAAGATGGTTTCAAAAGATACATTGGCTGCACTTACATGCTTGGAATAACCTAGCTACCAGCCAGTCAAGCCACCACCACCATAGGGACAAATAAAATGAATAAATTCTAAACTTTAAATTGTAAATGCTCTTCAAATCTTCATAATTGATATAACTTAGGCAAAGCAGGTGTCCTGTTTTTCCCTTTTTTGGTTAAATTACCTGTAATTTGTAGTAGTAATAATGTCAACTATTGACTCTACAGCAGATAAATCTAAAAGAAGCAACCCTACTCTAACCCTTCTCTCACCTCTCAGCCTCACACAGTCAGTCTGAAAGCATCAGCAAAACTCACTAAAGACTGATGTTTGGCTCTTTAAACTTCTCAGAGGAATTCAACGACAGGATACTGTGCCCCGAGCTGTCTGACACACAGAAGATGATGCTTCACGAGGAGGTGAAGAAGATCTATGAGACGTACTGTTTGGACGAGAGCGTGGACAAGATCCGCTTCGACCCCTTCATAGTGGAAGAAATACGCAACAGTATGTCAATCACTGCAATTACAATTTCTCAAAGAAGGGCATATAATTACCTACTTGAGGAAGTGTGTACGT